TCTTATATTGGTTCATCAATTTGATGATACAACACATTTGCCATAGATGATCATAATCAGGATAGTAAACTATGACGAAGGTCCACTGTATGTAAGAATTTTCAGATACTTCATTTGCAATTTGACAACAGACCATGATGGTGCTCACACTTTTCAAATATTCTTCAAGAAGTGTTATTAGTCTAGCTCCAACTAACATAAGTACTATGTTTGTGTTCCTACTTTAAATTCAAAACCAGCAATTGTAAAAGATTCATGTCGCACCCTCCACCACGGGACGTGATCGTCGTTAGACTTGGCAACCCTGCGAGTGACAGATAGATAGTCCCGCCAGTCAAAAAGACAATCAAGCAATAAACATTACTAGTTTTTATAATTTTTGGACTTAAAAGTCATTATTTGTGAGACATTTTTCATAATTTTTTGTCTATATCCATAGTAATTGTATTACGCATCAGGGTTATGTAGGGATTGACACCCCAACTAACAATTATCACTCCTATTAGAGTTGCAAAAATGATTATACAGTATCCCTTACACAGCATTGTATACTGTAAGAACATTGGCAGAACCGTCTTAGAACAGCTATACAAGCGGAATGGGCACACCTAATAGGACACTTCAGTCATTTAAGAGGTTGTATAAGGGCTGCAGGTAACATTTATACAACAAAAGTGCCCCTTGCAGCCGCTATAGGACATTTGCGTCAGTGCAAGATTCGGTTTTTGTCAACTATACAACTATTCTGTTACGTGATTCTACTTTATTACCACCAAACTATTTCTTATGTATTGCATAGACGAAGTGAAGAATATATAACTAACACATTACAGTCATCTTGTTTACTTACATATCGGTCATTGTGAATTTCATACACAGGTATATGATAAACTTCTACACTGTGATATAGGGCTACTGAATTACTTGCGCAGCAAATTTTATTGTGATTATCGTGCAAAGTAGTTACGCAATTTCTACGGGCTTCGTATTTGATTCATATTTTGATAATGATCAAAAGTATGTCTAGATTTTTAAGATGGAGAACTGAACTTATCAGCGTCAAATCTTCCTATATTTAGACACAATTACACTAATGTTTATCACTTTATATCTGTAATTCAGAACTGAAACATAATTATTTAATATTAAATAGAGGAATAAATATTTGCCCAATATGGCTGGTGGTTGTGTATAATCATGGCATCGTCCATGTTGTCTTCAGTTTATTACAATATTTTGGTATTGCAGTGTTATACAACAGTTTGACAAATGTCTGAAATTAAATACCGACAGAGTCCAATGATTTACCCAGAATTTGTACCAGATCTATATCTTCTGTTTGAACAGTTGACAAAACCTTTTGAACCAATATGCATGCGTTGTTTGTCTTAAATCATTGGTTATGGCATTTTAACAAAAATATGACAGCAGAAAGTTAGGTTATGGTGAAGTTGTATACCAACATATTTAGCATATGTACAGCCTTTAACAGTTACTAAACAACAGTTGTATAAGTGCTTCCGTTGGGAGCAACTTGTTGGCTAAAGTAGTAATATGCACAGCAAAACAACAGAGCTCGGGTTTGTTTTATAAACGTTACCATGGATGCCACAACACAACCATTTTGACTAACGTGCAAATATGCCGTATAAAATAGTTGTATAAACGTTTATGCAACAGTTAAAAATTTGTCCTATAAGGTGTTGTATAACTATGCTAAAGAATATTTTAAACACCTCATTTTAGAGCAAATATGTTGCAGAAAGCAAATTTGCATTCCACACAACATTAAGCCAGCATTTTGGTGTTCAGGCAACAACAATAGAGAGCTTTTATGGCTGAATGGTTATTTTACCAAAAGCTTATAGCACTACTTTGCTAGGGACGTCTTACACATATTATCTGTGTTTTAGTATGGAGATTACAAGTTTTTATTGCTTTGAAGAAATTCATTAACCCATAAATTAATAAATGATTATTATTATAATGTAAAGGAGGATGAGGAATTGGATAGAATGTATTTGATATTCTATTTTCTTGCAAAATACAGATAAATCCACACTATTCAACAGCTATGTATGATAACACTCAGTATATTGAGCTTGAGAAATTCGAGATTGCCATGAATTAACAAACGTCCAAATCTGCTGCCAAATTTAACAGCTAGAAAATCGACCTTTATATGCGGCATTCCCATTGGCTTTGGAGATAACTGATGGTTAAATGTAAATTTATAACATAAATCAAAATACATGAAAGTTGTCCTGTTTTTTCTGTACAAAAGCATCATGTTGGAATCAAAAAGTAGTCTTGTTTATAATACAGTCGAATTTTCACGATTTTATTCAATATTTTGATAGAAATCACTGATATTCAGAGACATTTGACAGCTTCTGTCAAATTGCATTTCGATAAGGTATTTTTCCATTAGTTCATAGTAATTAATGTTGGTGAAATTGGGCCTAAGATCAATAATTGCGATACACCCTCCTCCACTTCACAGTAACACAGCTTCTGTCAAATTGCATTTCGATAAGGTATTTTCCCATTAGTCCATAATAATTAATGTTGGTGAAATTGGGCCTAAGATCAATAATTGCGATACACCCTCCTCCACTTCACAGTAACACCTCACACGCCAATTCTTACACCTAACCTTTTTTTAAAACGAACGAACGAGGAAAACGAAATTTGAGCAATTTTTGGTTGTTTTTTTTTGCCACTGAAACGACTTTCAAAGTTTATAAAGATTTAAATTTTGCATGAAAATTTTATCAAAATCAGAGAGCTACTGTCCATTTAATAGGCGGTCCAAGGATTAACTGACAGACCGACAAAAATAACGACAGATAGACGGAAATAAGTGTCATGATTTTTCGTAATTACAATAATTCCTCGCCAGTGTAGCGTGGGAAGTAAAAACTGTACGTGATTGCTGTTCGAAAAATAATCCCGATTCAACAACCATACTTGAAATCGTCTAGCAGGATACGGAATCGTTCTCATCGAGAACTCCGGCCGCCGGCCGCCGCCACCAGAAAAGATTTATAGTTGTTAATTCAAATAACATTAAATGCGGAGGATAAAAAAGTCGCAAAATTAAAGCCGATATCGATAGAATGCCGTTCGGCGTAGAACACTCCAGTAGTTACGTCATTTGAATACCGTAAAATGTTTGCAGCCGAATGCAGACATAGATATCAAAAAGTATCGCAGCATTATACTAAAGATATGATATTTATTCATTATTTATGTGGATTTTAAACGTTTTAAGTTGAATTGAAGCTCCACGATCCAACCTTGTAAGCAGTTAAAATGCGAGAATTAATAGAATTATCAGGATTCGGGTCTAACCATACGTACCGCGTTTTGGCTCGACGGTGACCTCCGCTTTATAACCTGACTTATTCTCGTAAATAAACAAAACACATACCAGATGTAAACAACTTGAAACCAATAACCATAAATACATTGACGCACTTGAAGTGATCGATGACACTTTCCAATCGTAAATAAGGCCAAGTGCGGATATAGAAGGGATCTACTTACCTAGTTTTGCGTACTCCTTTACTGAGAAAAAAAATTAAACCAATTAGGATTTTAATCAGGCTAATTAAAAAAATTAATTATCCATGTGTCAGGTAACAAATTTAATTATTTTAATAAGACTCCGATTTCAACAGTTTACTTGAATCTGTGAAACTAGTTTGACTAAACCAAAACGCAATCGTTTATTTAAATTTAATAAACTGCCTACTTAGATTGATTGCACCAGTTTATTTGAAATTATTGAACTGGTAAAATCGGTTTACCTGTTCCAAGTAAAACAGTTTGATTGAATATATTAAATTTGTTTAATTAGTTTAGGTAAAAGCGCCTAGTTTTTTCATTTTTATTTGAAAGGGTATTTGTATAATATTTGGAATTTAAAAAACAAATTGCCTTTTACTGAAACTATATGTCAGTTTGTCCAGTAACAGGTTATAATATTATTCATCATGCATCAGGAGCAATTCTTTGTTTTAAATTGTGAAAATGGGGAAAGAGACCTGAAACATGAGTACAAAAACTTTGACTTTCATTTCTAATAATAAAACAATATTGACGCATTTATAACTAGGATATTTTCAAATACTACAAAGTCTACAGCAACAGGAGGCTCCACTTTCAATATATACATTATACAATATAAATGAAAAGCATATCAACCCTTCTACTACTACTGCTTTTTTACTTTGATAAATTGATTTACTGCTGTTAAGCTTAGTAAATGTAGTTAATACGTAATATTTTACAAAGTGAAAAACCAACTATTTTTGTTAAATAACATGATCAATGATATATTTTGTTATTGTAATCATAGAATAACTGTATTGGCATCAAAATTTAAAAAAGGCAGTAAATCAAGTTTACTACCTTTTACCCAGAACAGCATGATGCAGCTTACTTATATCTTCGAAACTTCAAGAAAGAACGGCATTCGCGGAGAATTCTAAACAAAGCTCTCTGTTTATCTTTTCGCTTTTTCTCTTGGCCCTCATCTCCATATTTTCATTAAACGAGTTTCATATGAGTATGTAGCAACACGGAGAACGAGCGACTTTATGGCGCATCCGATACAAAAAGCGGTCACGCAAATATGTGTTTACCGGTAAGGTATCTTTTTTATTAGAGTAAATATTTGCAGGAAAACGCTGCGACGCGGCGCTTACGATGGAATGAAAAAATGTCGCTTTTCCCAGCAAGAAAGTTAAATTATGTTTCAGCGTTTTACTGGGAAATAATATTCTTAGGAACAATAGGAACGCTGCCGTTGTATTGAAAAGGTGTGCAGCGGAGCTGGCTCCAATTCTTTCGCGTCTCTTACAGATATCTCACGAATCCGGCACATTCCCAGAAAATTGTAAATTTGCTCATGTCCAGACCATCCCAAGGCAGGATCTAAGACCGACCCTTACAGATACAGGCCTATATCTCTGCTTTCTCTTATAAATAAGGTGATGGAGAGGTGCATAAATCGCGAGCTTCTCGAACGTCACGGCTTAACTAGCGACAGGCAGTATAGACGTCACGCAATTGTGGAGTGTACTCGTCCAATCTTATGGTGAGGCTCATGTAGTTATTCTTAATATCACGAAAGCGTCTGATCAGCTGTGGCACGTTGCCTCTTATGTAAACTTCCATCTTATGGCCTACCAGAGAAGCTTTGGGTGAAGATGACTTTCTCACTGGCCGCAAGATATCCGTCATAATTGATGGGATTTTGTTCTTGTTTGCTTTCCGTTAAAAGGATAGAACAACATACGGTTGGTTATGGTCGTAGAGCTTTGCTATTCTATGCAGTACAGTATATCTGAATTCTCATATTAATATAAAACACAAAAATAAAACATACTCACATGCCCGATCTATAATTTATTGAGCATTCAATATATTTGTATAAATGCTACCACAGCCAAGCTAAAGATTCATGCTCGTAGCTCAGTCATTAAGATAATAAAAATAACTCGTTTTTCTAATGCGGGCAGCTTGGATTGAGTTTAGTTAGCGTGAAAATAAATAGCTCCTGTGACTAATAAATTAACAATTAAACGATTTTGCACGTGTCGAGTTGACAGTTCCCTGGTAAAACTTCGAAACGACGTTCGTTCTTTCCAAAACTAGATGTGTATGTTGGAGTAATAAAGTATAAAGCTCGCATGACTCCATGAATTGCATAAAGAACTTTTTAATTTGGAGAAGAAAATAGCTGTTTTTGTATGGAGAAGCAAGTCCTTTTGTGATAACTTTTGGATACTTTTCTGATCTGCAGTACTATGACTAATAGTTTAACCACCTTAAAAAAAGCAGGATGAGTGATAATACTGTCAAGCTTTGCAAGTTTACGATATTAGATTCCTAAGGTAAACTGTATTGACAAGCTATTCAAAAATTCTCCAAAAATTTCTCAAAACACGATTTTCAAATTTTATTGCAAAATACAACCTCATATCTGAACAGCAATATGGATTTCAGGAAGCAAACACAACCAAGTATGTTGATAGTAATACGTCAACAGCATGTCTGTTTGTAGACTTGACCAAAGCATTTGAGAGCATTACGCATCAAAAATTATTAACAATCTTGGAAAAATTAGGATTTCATGGAGCCGCTTATCAACTCATGAAAATTTGTTTGAAAGATAGGAAACAATGTGTGTACATTAATAGTACACTAAGTGAAAACATGGCAGTTAGATGCGGAGGTCCACAAGGAACCATATTAGGACCAATCCTGATTGATACAAATCAAAATTAATGACCCTTTGAAGTTGAAAAACGATGGAGAACCTATTGTTTTTGGAGACGACATGGCAATTATTTATCCAGACTAAGATTGAGGATCTTTAAAAAACAAAATTGTATTGGATTTTCAAAAGGTTACAATTTTTTCACAGAAAGGATTTTAGCAGTCAATTTCAACAAAACATATTTTACTACATTTTTTGGGGCAACAGATCTTTCCATAATTTCAATCAACTCCAAATTAAAACGTTGCACAGCTGCAAAAACGTACAATCGGTTGATAATTTCAGATATTTAGGGGTATTCATAGATGACCCTCTAAGATGGAATATACACGTTGAAAACTTAATAAGAAAATTAACCTTTTTCCGTAAATCAAACATTGCAGCAGTTTTGTAAACAAAAAGTATCTACACTCATTACTATCTTATGGAATCTTAGCATAGGGGGCATCATGAACAACTTATATAAAAAATTGGAATTACGCAGAAGTGGATTTGGAAGATATGTTGAACTAAAAGAATTAATATCCCACAGAAACTCTTTATAGCGAATCTCAGGTTTTCAACTGCCGGCAAACATATTTTAATCACACAATAATAAAAGTATATTTAACAAAAAATTAAAAATGTTTACATTCTATAAGTCTCAACCATCAAACGCGATTCAAGGGAACATCTGCACTTATCCTTAGACTAAATATAACTATCAGCTAAAGATCTTAGTATGCCCAAAATTTTATGATATTCCGGCAAATTTTAAACATGCTAAATGTAAAAAACGTTTAAAAATTAAACTAAACTTATAAATTTTAAATCAACCAGGGCTACAAATCCATAAGCTTGAATAAATTAAAAATCAATGTCGTTCGACAACAAACTGATACAATTCTATACATTTAACTATTTCACTAATGTATTTATATAATTCAAGTTCGGTCAAAACCCAAGCACAAGTGTATACTTTTTTGGGTATCTTAAGTTTGTTGGGCACTACCGTTATTATTTTCTAGTTGGACGATTAAAAATTATTACTATCATTATTATTATAATAAACACTACTTTTTCAGGTGCTTTCAGATCGCTCTGTAGGCCACCATTTTAAACAAACTAAAAGGCAATATAACTACGCCCCTGATTTTTCCGTAGCCGTTTTATCTTGAACAATGTTCCATTGCGGTCGAGAAAGCTCTATGGTACAGACAAGGCGCATACAAACCGAAAGCCTCTCAGCTTGACGACACAAAAGCCATTAGTTTGATCTCATTGAGGTTGCCTGAAACTTCTAGGACAATCCTCGTTCTGTGCTCCATCCAATTCATCTGTTGGTGAGCTTAGCCCTGGAAATACGCACGATTGACACGGGATGTTGAGACTGAAATGTATTTTTTTACACGCAGGCAGAAGCCTAAATGTCGGGGCATCGCGGCTGCTATGAGGAGCTTAAAGAAACTTTGGTAATTTGATTTTTGAACTGCTTAAGGTAAAAGGGTCTTCTTCATGTAGATTGCCCCACAATCTCGATACACTATGGATAAGGGAGCGGTCGTATAGGCCAGTTCTGGATGTACGAAGTTCGAGACGGTTATACTGGAAGGCCGATGTTAGGCGGGTTAGTCTGAGAAGCACATCGCGTGGCGGCATCATGGAAGAGATTTCTGAGGAGCAAACTCCATTGTAATATATTTCTCACATAGCAAATACCACCGATTTTATACACATGCAGACCAACACACATAACCATCCAGATGCGATCTGTCTACTCAACCAACTTTTTTTCTTTCACATCACAGAGATAAACTACTCAGCATTCTGCAAACAACAATGCATGCTTGAGCAATGTCGTGTCGTTGAGTCATTCCTCTATAGATGGATGCTTTTTATGACGCTTACAGCGATCATAGCGAGCAAACGTGGAATGAAGAGTTTGTACACTAAAAACTACTTAGTCTGCAGGATGACATTATGTCGGTTTTTTGACGTTTTTCTTACACAATACCCTTGTGGGTATCCCTTAGGTTCATGCCTGAATTGCAATTGGAGTTTTTTAATTAACCTTCACAATGCAAAAATTGTCAGCAGTGAGCCTTTCGCGAAGCATCAATCCCATCCATTTATGTCATATGCGAGAATATGTATGTAGATCTTACACAGGACATTACTCGTATATTCTGAATGTCATACATCAGGCGACCAATTTTATCTCAATTGATCAATGGTTTCATGTGGTTCACGTAAATATGAAATTGCAGCAAGGTGCATGAGGAAGAGTTTAAAAAACTGGACCTTTTATAAAAAGAAAAGCTTGTTTATTATGTACGTGACAACTTTTATGCCTCGTATCAAACGCGGATGTTGACAGTTTCTGTGACGTGTTTAAAGGAAAACTAATCTCACCTCTCTGCTTTGACGTCACTTCATCTCACTCTATACTTCATATGAATGCGAGATGAAAGCACCTATGGAGCTTTGTGGATAAATGCGGATGTACATGAGCGTGGGAGTACAGCAAGTTGAAACAATTTTGTTTTATATGTTTCGCAAAGTAAAACGGGCTTGGTATGTAAACTAATAGGTACTGCACAAAATCTAGGCAGGAATATTTATAAATGATATAGGTTAAATGCTTGCGAACAGCCCGGCGTATTTGATATCCAGATGAATCTTAGTGTTCCTGCAAAGATGAGTTTTGAATTGTGGAGAGCCGCGGCACTGTAAGCGATTCTGGTCCAGATATAATTAATCAAGCAATCCACCCGAGCCACACAAAGACAATGTAGGATTGGCACCTATCTGGGTATTCCAGTCACCTGGCCAGGAGGAGCTCTCTTTTCGCAGCTTCTTCTCAGGTCACCTCACTTGTCCTAGCGATTATATGAGTTACAAGATTTTTGGTAGATTTTTGAGAAATCAACGTTGCCTTCCGACTCTTATTTACTCGTCTTCTTGTGCGCATGTTTGGCTTGTATGCGCAATCGCCAAAAGGTTTGAATTTGTATGGCTGTTGAATTCAAGTAATTACCTGATCAAACGAACTTACCTGTAAGTGGTGTTCTATCTTAATTATGTGAAGGCCTCGTCGGGCCAAACCCGTTCAAAGTGCGCGCTCAGCGAAGAAAGGCGGCTCACCGCGCTTTCCCACATACAAGCTCTCATTTTCCTCATAGCCAATTTTTTGCAACAATTGGGTAATACATAGGGAGCGAGGAAGATAATGAAATATATTTTGGAACTTGCATGAACACTTAGTGTACTCTTATTTTTGTTTTTCTTGATGAGGAGCGTTAATAATGATGCTATCAAACCGTGTTCACACGATTTTCAAACCCTCATAAACAAAGACAACCCCTTTCTCTTCACATAAAGGATCATGCACATAATACATAGCATTTTGCATATTGCTTAGCAACTTGAGCAGCAGCTTAACTAGTTTAACAACCAAACTTTTAGCCGTTTGGTAACTCATCGTCGCATATTTCGAGGTGAACTTCTACATTGTTCTCACTGCCACTTCTATTATGCTCATCATTCTAGTTATGTAACACCCAAATAGTGAGATCTATGGAATGAAGGAGGTATCTGCATGTTTTAGCAAATGAGAGATGTTAGTTACCTCTTTCATGCATTACTTACGCTTGACATGATGTCAGATACCTCGTTTAGGAGTTAAAATATGCCTTAATATTGAACTTTATCATGATCAAGTCAATACTAAGTGAAACAATGTTCATTTATAAAAGTCACTTTATAATAAAATGTTATGCACTCATCTCTTCAAATATTCCAAGGATAACCTTCCTCTGAGCTGCTCCACAAAAGACCATTTAGCTAACAGCCATATAACCGCCGCTCCTCTCCCAAGCTGTTCTTGGCAAGTTTATTTATTTCCGTCATCCAAGTAGCTCTTTCTTTAGCAGGGTCGCTATTAAAGTGACCCGAACTCTGTAGCTCAGCCTGGCAGCTGTGACCGAGTAAAATATGCAAAGAAAAGTTTATAAGTGCATAGTGCATAACTAAGGAGTCCAACTTTGCCAACTTTGGAATTGTAGTTCACGTTTTCTCAAGGTTAGTACGATAATTTTCCTTCAATTTGCTTCATAGTTTGGAAGCTGTAGCGAATTGAAAAGTAAGCTTACTTTCAAAACTAGCCTATGCTAAACAAGGTGGCCACCTATTTTCAGGGTAAGCTTCCACTGGCATCATTTCGCGCATATGGGTGTAACGGTATCTTCTAAAATCGAGTAGTGCGCGTTGTGTATCTAATTACCTACAGTATTACTGTGCTATTGGTTGTATATGGGTGTAAATAATTTTCCGATTTAAGACCAATCAGTATTACAGCCATGTTATCCAAGTTACTAAGTGTAACTTTTTCGGTATTTCTAATTTTTCTGTTATTATGATTCATAGATTTTAATAAAATCGATCTCAGAGGGTAAACGTTGATATAATTTTGTCCGCAAAACGTCTCATTTCTTCCGGACTACCACAAGGGTCTGTACTTGGGTCACTATTGTTCATTTTATGTATATCGAATCTACATCTGCTGGTGAATTTTTCACCGATGATTCATAAATTAATAATCATTTCCAAAGTTATAATATCCAAAGTGATGTATCTGTGACCAATGATGATTTAAACTCTATCAGAACATTATGCAAAGAATCATAATCTTCAAGGAGCCCTTCGAATCAAAAGTCATAATTTTTTTCACCGAAACCGTTTAGAAGTTGTGCGAGAATGAAATTGAAACGGTGACTATATTGAGGTGAGTGAATCAGTCAAAAAGGGTACCGCAATGGTCTGTACTTGAGCCACCATTATTCATTTTATAGAAAATAAGAAAAATTAAGTTCAAACGGTGACTTTATTGAAGTAAGTGAATTAATCAAAAACCTAGGTATCATATTTGATGAAAGTCTCAAATTCATCTCACATATGAATAATATCAGCAAGTATTGTTTTTCCATTTTTCCACTTTACCTAAATAAACAATTTCTTGACTACCAAACCAAAAAAAAATGCAATTACAACACATCAACACTCAGTGGCCTAGGGAGTTAAAGTATTATATAGTATAAGTATTCCTAAGTTCAGTTACTAAGTTTCAAATTATGAGCTTTTCCTCAACAGTATACGACGGATCCATAAACAAACTCCGACACCGTTTCAAGTTGCAGCCTTCAGCCTTGCAGCCAGGAACTTTCAGTTTGTGGCGAGTTAATGGAGAAGAACTTTCTATTTGGCGCAATTGTACAAAACATTTACGCTCTCTGTATACCGCACCGCGTTCAACTTCCGCCCTGTTAACTAAACTATTGATCAACATTACTGAATTCAACTCCGCTTGCCGTTGAATCACATATTCTATCTGCTTTCCTGTTTTGTGACAATGGCCGTAACACAACATGATACTGAAATAGAACAGTTTGCAGCTGGTCGGTTAACATAGGGTGTCTCAAAAATGTCCTTGAATAACATGGCAGTTATTTAAAAAAACATGCTTTTATAGCTCACCGAACAGGAATCCCGCGATGAGTGTAATTACTGTTAGCATGTATATGACTTGTAATTCGACAATGTACTGTGAATATAATTGTTTCTTATCGCATTTTTGGAATTCAGCAAATTTGCACATGAAATTTCTAGAATGGATAAGAAAAACTGGATGTGCAACGCTTTGAATCTCAAGTAAGTGTATTTGAGACAAGAATCCAATGGAATTATCATCAACACATATTATTAGCACACAAATCCCCACTATGCACCTATGCATTGCCGTTACCTCCAGTAATACCATCTCTGAAGCAGATTTTACATCACATCAGATTCAAAAATTGATAACTGAAGCCTCATGACTTTTAGGCAACACGTACAACTACAAAACGAGTTCACAACGTGTCCATCAGCTAGTGCTAAGTTAACATCTTGTAGAAAGACTTACATAATGTCAAAAAACAGTATAATATGAAAAAAATCGATATAACGTCACTTTTCAAGATACGTAATACACGTGCCGATCAGACTTTTTGGCATGATTGAGTGACAAACATCGAAACTGTTTGACTCGCTAGCTTAAGCTTTTTTTGACGCTGGTGTGAATCTTCTACACATGTCTTTTATTGTGTTGCTCTGTGAGTGCAACCAAATTTTGCTGTCATATCGTTATTGGTCCCACTGTATCTATCACTGCCACCCCCATCGATCATAGTTCACGTTCATTGAATATCTCGAATGTAAATCTTATCAGCCGTGTTTGTCATCGCCAATTCAACACCTACGACGTGGTCCAATTAACTGATTGGCAAACAATCCTCTCACAGAACTATGCTTCCTTCTCCATCCGCATTCCAAGTTATGCGACGCTTGTTGTGTGACCAGGTATATTGACTCGGTGGATCTAGGGCGTAGAAATTTCCTCAAACCAAAGTAGTCAAACTGCTCGCAGTGATTGATCCTAGGGGTAGATGGCGCTTTTAGCTGTCTGATTTCTCTTCCCAATTCTGAATTTTTTTTTATATCTGTTTTCAACATCCGGATTTTAAAATATATTTTACATTTTAAAAAAGTGATTAGCATCTGGACTTACTCTAACCGGCGTGACTAAATTCATTAGCTATTTCAAATAATATTTGGTCAGTTTGGATGACCCTGCGTTGAAATTGTTGGAAATATAGTCGAGCTAATTACATTTAATTAGTCGTTATTAAATTAAATTTGGGTGGCTCTTCAGAACCCACTATTCGCAAACTTGTTTGTTCCTTGGAAAACTGAAGAAACGCCAATCAGAAACGTCACTACTTTTAATAATAAATGGCCTTTATTCGTCATAGCATTGCAAATAAATTTAATGGAAGAAAACAAAATAGTGACGAAAAGGTGGAGTATCAGCTTACACTGTTTTTCAACCCGGCCTGGACTATATAGACTAATATGAAGAAGCTAATGTGAGAAGAAAAAGTACCTAAATTTAAATGTCACAGTTCCTAACTTTGATCACAAAAAAGAAAGGCTTAAGATATTACACTTCTCTGAAAAAGCAAAAAATCAATTTCCTATAGAGATGTAAAGTTAAATTCTAGTCATCCGATTCTTTTAAAGTCATCTTTAACCTTTTTTAAAAGTTGCTCAGGCTAGATTCTTGACACTCGGTCGACAAGCAGTTATATAGTTTGGGTGTCCAGTACGAAAAACGAGGATCTTCGATCGTACTGATAGATGAGGGATAGCTCCATGGTTGTAGGGGGGGGGGAGATTTGGGTGTTCACCCCCCCTCCCCCCGAAAAGTTCTAAGAAATATTTTTCCTAAACTATTTAAACTATTATTAAAGGTCTATTTGAGCTACTCCGTTGAAGATAAGTATGAGTAGTTCAAGATACATTACACATTTTTCAAAGAGTAGAGACAAGGAGTAAAAATGGCAGCCAACACAAAAAGCAGTCCAATTGCTTTATACAGTTTGATCTTAAAATTTTGTGATGTGCTTGGTAGTTTTTCAAAGAGTAATCAGCTATGCATTACATTATGCGGCCAATTCTAAAATCGAAGCGGCAATTGAAATATACTCATCAGTGCTCTCCGGAAAAACAAAATCTGTGATTAAATCGGAATTTGAAGTATGGAAAGCAGTTATGACAAGCACCTTTGCAGAATGCACTACTAGAAAATCTGCTTTGGAATGCTTAGATAAGTGCAATCAAAAACTGTATCCAAATATCTACACATTGTTACAAATTTTGGCTACCATACATGTTTCCACTGCTACCCTAGAAAGGACTTTTTCAATCCTAAGGAGACTGAAAAACTTTGCACAACTCGAGTGGAAACAGACTGAACGGTTTGGCCCTTATGAATACTCACTATGAGACTGAAATGGATGCCGACGAAGTAGTGGATATATTTAAAAATAAAAACAGATAATTAATTTTATAATATCGAATTGGATCAAAACTTCGAGGTAGATGGGAGGCAAGTGGATGGGATAGCGCGTGCTCTCTGAAATACATTTTCATTTTTTTTTTTTGATGAATAATATTGTCTTTTGGTGCATATTTTATTTCATAACAACCCTCCCCCCCAATCCCCCGAAACTGAAACCTGGCTACGCCCATGGATAGCTTTGTATAAAGATAATATGGTGCTTTAATAAGAAGGGACTTATGTACCAGAGATAGGCAATGCACATTTGGTTAACATGCAGCGTAGCTTGTAGTCAAACTAGATACCAAGGTTTTCGGACTCGTTTACAAATGTCTTCATATGTCTTCATTGTTCACCATAATATAATTCGATCTTGATTTATTTCACGATTTTTTTTGGGCCCAAATAAAATGCAGCGAGATCATGAACACAAGATATGTCAAAAATAGACAGCAGATCTTGATTTATTTGATGTTGTCCAAGCATGTACTCATCAGGATCGAAGCTGTTATGAAGTTGTGTATCATCTGCGTAATGATGAACGACTGAGTAGTTGGAGATTTCATGGAAATCGCATATATAAAGAGCAAATAAAATTGGACTCAAAATAGATCCTTACGGGACACCAACATTTCTGAATAAAGCAGTTGTTATTTTATTTTCATATATGTCAGACTGAGAGCCATCAAATAAGCAGCTTCTAATCAGCGTGCAATCCGATGAGGACAGGCCACAGTATCTAAGCCTTTTTCAGTGAATATTTGGATCAAACGTATCGAAGGCCTTGCTAAAATCCTTGATCAGCCGCACTGTGAATATCATCCGATATAGACAGGAGCGCTGTAGTAATGCTATACAGGTATAATGGTCTGAAGCCAGATTGGGCGGTGGTCAGTTGATTCTTTCCACAAAGAAATGTGTGCAGCTGGTCATCTAGGGCCACTTCCAGAAGCTTAGAGAGGCTTGGTACAATGCTTATAGGACGAAGATCAGAATTTTTTTTCTTGTTGTTCTTGCTGGAACAACCGACCACTACACAG